TGCCAAGCGACGAAAACCCAACCCCGATGGCAAACACCGGGGGGGGGGAACTTTAATAAAAGCTGGTGCGCTCTTGGGCAATGCACAGTAGAGCCCGAAAGCATAGGGAAAAGCGTGGGCAAACACTTCGTCGTCTCGGACACGAGGAGAGGCAGTACGGCTCTCTGGGGGGGGTCTACCGAAGAGCAGCTCGTCGACCGGTCTACTTGACCGCAGAAGGCACTTTCAAAGGGACCTGCAACATCATCGGAAAATTCACTGCCGTTGTTGGGTCCCCAGAAAGAACTTAACCCACATTATCGCACCGCACACCTTCGGTCATGGTTCTTCACGCTGGTGCTGATGAAAACGTCGCCGATGGCTGTGTCGTGCTTCTTGAATCCGCCGGCGGTACCGGCGTTTATCACGAGATCCGGCTTGATCGCCTGGCCAAGCGGGGGGGAGGGAAGGGGTCAAGGGGGAGGGGGAGGGGGGGGGGAGGCTCGTGAAAAGGCGACATAGATAGGCGGGAGGCGAGATAGGAGGGACTGGGGAAATAGCAACACGAACCCAACCTCACGATTGTACGTCGACAATCGATTGCGCTTACTTTTAAATGGAGGAGGGTAACATGTGTGCATGCGGGTGTCTGGGTTTCTGCCATTTCGCGTTGATGCCTGGAAAAAAATGAAGACGGATAGAGTTGGTTCTCTTGGTACGCAACGTCACACTTTCATCATGCCGCATTTCTTGGCTGCGACACCGAGGACAGAATCGACGTTGCTACCTGTGTTTGTCGAAGAAGTCAAAGCAAATCCTCACGACGACCATGTACGATTGTGTGAAAATAAACATTTCCAACCCTGAGAGCGCAAACAACCGCATCAAAGACGCTTCCATTCGCCACTGCCTGTCTTTCGAGGACGCTTCGATAGCATAAAAACAAACGCATGCTTTCGTTTGCGGATCGGTTGTGGCTCCCTTGACAGCATGGACTTGAGGAGGAGTTGCTGCATCGTGCGGTGTTGCAAATCAAAATGTTCTCTCTTACCTCAACCGACAGCCAAGTTGACAGCCCGGCCGCCACTGTGCCGACCTGGTCAACGCCGAACCGGGAGCATTTCCCGTTGGTGACCACGTTGATCGCTGCACCTTGGTAGGAGCCACTGAAGCACTTGGAAGGCGCGGCGGCAGGGAACTTGTCCGGGTCTTCGACGAGCCCGAGGCGTTCGATCAGTGGAGACGCTTCGGCTGTAGGTGGGTGGGCCGGAGCACCGCGCGAAACCAGAGAGCGAGTCAGTCATAGCTTTCGCACGGGCTGACCACCTAATAATCCTTGTGATTCAAACATGAACTTTAGGTGTAATAACTCCTCGTGAATTCTCGCACTGTTGATTTATGGACAGAAAACGTGTCGCCGGGTCGGTAGCATGGTGTAGCGCGTAGCGCAGGTGCTGTCAACACTGCCATTTCGACAACTCCGCACGAAGACAGGGCGGCGCATTCACGTTTCCATGACGCAGCAGCATGTCCGGAAAATATAACCTCTCATCAGTCGTTTATTCTCGGGAAAACATCCTCATCAGAAGGGCATGCCGGTGCGAGAATACCGCGTGTTCCGCGCCAGCATGAACACCTTCAGTGATAAAAATTGAGCTGGCCTCGCCCAGCGCCCTGTAGTACCCTCCCTACCTTCCATTGCGACGATCACCACAACATTCTTGATTCCGCCCGACATGCTTGTTGCAATCCCTCGCTGGTTCCTGCTGCTGTGCTTGCTGCTGCTGCAAGACCGAAGCGAAGCCGACGACTGGTTCGTCAAGGAGAAGGAAGACGCACGGCGCACGGAAAGGTGGACGAGCGGCAGGCACACCTTCCAAGCAGCACCACGCATGTTGCTGGCCGTGTCCGGCAACTTCTGCTGGGAATCATCGGGGGCTCTCAAGAAAAACAGAACCCCGCCTGCTACTATGTATGTCAAGGCTGTCATGAGGCCCCCTAGTTATTGCGGTTGCCCCGCATGTTTCACCAGCGCGTGCGTGCTGCCGGATGCACACCATTTCCCTCGGAATCGCCAATAGTCAGCATTCTAGCTGGCTTCGGGACGAATGTGGCTGGCCTCTCCGTTCTCCTACCTGTGTTCCGCAGCAGCAACGACGTTGTCAACGGCGTTCGCCGTGCCGTCATCCTACTCTTCGCTGTCTCTAGCGAATGTCCGTCACCTATCCACCGCAACGACGACGCCCATCACATCTTCCTTGCCGAGAGCCCTTGCAGCAACCGGCGGCGGCAGCAGGAGGAGACCACTGCTCGTAGTGCCTAACAGCAGAAGCAGAAGCAGCAACAGCAGCAGAACGTTCACGCTTCGGGCTTCGTCCACCGTTGGCCCTCCTAGCGCTGCTGCCGCTCTTGGCCGGCGTCCCTTTGTATCATCAACAGCCTCGTATGCCAGTGGAGACAGCATTACGTCTGGGATGGTGCCGGATGACGCCTCGGCGCTGATAAGAGCGGTGTATGACTCCAAGCCCACGCCCCAAGTCTGCGTGTCTACTGCGGGGTGAGGAGGATTTTGCAATCGTGGAAAAGCACACAACCTGGACTATGTAGTAGGTGTGCAAAACTGCGGCTCAACTGCATGATGTGTTCCAGAAGGAAACGGCTGCGTGGTTAGCAGCAGTTGCTTTCTACACTCGAGGGTACAGATTGATCGACAGAGACAAGCCGAGAGAAAGAGAGCGCGCGATCAATACACGGGCTCTACGGTAGCAAAAAACAGAGTTTGAGAATTGAATATGTTGCATGTGCAGCAGACGTGATACTTTCTGTATCAGTTTTACTCGTACCGCACGCTCCACGTGTACGGTGCCTCCCTTCGAAGTGGGGCGGGACATCCCCCTGGCGTTTTGTGTCGCCGCAACGGCTGGCTTGGCCAGCAACAATATAGGAGGGGAAGCCAGTCTCGTGTTATTCTGTTCGTTTTTTTGACTCCAACTACCGCTGCTTTCGGACCGGGCGAGGTGTAGGGCTGCCAATTGGAGTTTTCGCATCGGTCGGCAGAGTCTAACATTTCCACGTTCGTTGCGGGGAAGCTTGAGGGCCGGCGTGCCGGGAGCCGGGACCAGGAAAATCCTCTCCCTTGCACCTTGCACCCCTAAAAAAACGGCTTTCGAGACGGCTGGGCACGTCCTTGTGGGAGTCAAATGAAATCCTTCAACAAGTAGTTGTGACGCGTTTTGAATGGACAGACGTGTCTGGCCGCTAGCGCAGCAAAGGCACATCGTGGCAACAGGGACCTTGTCGGCATGCGCATAGGAGACACCAATAGTCTACCTTATATGACACAAGATAACACACCCCCTTGACCAATTTTCGAAGCTCGATTTCTCAATTGCAGGAACAGTCAAAGTGCCGAAAACGGCGGCGTTGAAACCGTCTCGTTGAGAGCTTTTCGAAGATGTATCGTTTCGTTTCAGCGACCTGTCCTGGATTAGCGACCACATTCTCCCCTCCTGACACTGGTAAACCGGCCCCATCGTACGCTACGATCACCCCGACTTTGGCATCGACAAGCTCGTTCTACGCTGTTTTTCTGTCGCATCGCAGGGCGGGAGGGCAAGCGATATCTTGGCTATTGGGAGTCCCTGGAGCGAGCGCGTGCCTCCTAGAGGCGACGGTTCCTTACTGCTTCAAGGCTTTCGAGGATAGAATGGCTGCAGGGTCGCGCGCCCCGGGATACTGCTCTCGAGAGGTACGCGTTGTTGGGAGATCGCTTAAACCCCCAGCTGTATTTTTTTTTTTTTCTCCCATCATTGGACTCTGTCGTCTGCCCCTCTGGCCCCTAACCTCCACTTCTACTAGCTAGACGACCCAACCGGGGTCACATAGGAGGGGGGGGGCTGGACCCCCTCCTGCGGTTCCTGCCTGAGGTATTTTTATCGCGAGAAGGGTACAGCAATCCCTTCCCTCGCGACTTACGAAGTCGATTATGGTTTACTAACAACGAGCTTTGCGGCGCGTCGCTTTCATCCTAGACCAGGGTTTATTTGGCGAGAAAAAAACTCACTTTGCCGGGACTCGAACCCATGACCTGGCCCTCAGCAGGCTGCGAGGCTACCCACTAGACCACCGGGGCAACCGGTGGGTATGTATGTACACGAGCTGGTTAATAGTTGGTGCAAACCAGCAGCAGCAGAGCAGCAGTCCACCTGCATGTCTGCCCTGTTGGAGCGGACTACTTCTGGCGCTCACAGCAAACTGAGCGTGAACCGAGCACTGTATAGGACAAGCCACCGATATCCATGCTTCAATGGGGGCCATCCAACACATTCGTTGATTCGACCGACTCTCATGCACCCTTCCCCCCCCCCCCCCCCCCCCCCCCCCCCCCCCCCCCCCCCCCCCCCCCCCCCNGCCCCCCGCCCCGTGAAAACCGTCCAAGGCCGCGGAGGGGCTTGCGCGAAAAGCCTATGCCCGAGCCGTCTCCCTGTGCGTGGCGGAATCGCCCGACCGAGGGCCCCACGTGCTGCCGGACCGCCGCGTCATCGCCGTCGGCTGCACGGCGGCGGTGTTGTCCTCCAAGCCCCGGCGGGGGCCGCACCAGTGCTACGTCTGCGCGCAGACCGCGGACGGGCTGGCGCACTACGAGCTCACCCTGTCGAAGGGACGGAGAGACAGGTGGCACATGCACAGAACGCGCCACCGCGTAGCACATGCTCTACTTGGTTTGGCTGAGGCTCGTTTCTTTTTTGGTCTATGGGGTAGTCTACCCCCACGGTGACAATATATACTTTGATGCAGGCTTCTTGACTGAAAAACTTATATTTGACCAAGTTCTTCGACTTCGAGATTGTTGAGGTTCAAGTTCTCAGCGGCTACGTTCTTATGAGGTGCCGCGTTCTGAATATTGTGAGTGGGGGGGTGTGGGGGGGTGTACTCATAGTCGTGCATGCCGTAGTCGTTAGACCATTGACCTCGCATCCCTACAAAGCCGGGACGGAGCACGCCGGGTTCTCACCGGACCAGGCTCTCACATGACCAGGCTCTCACATCACCAAGCGCGAAGCGCCGTGAGATATTCGGCGGGTCGCATGAAGGGTGCGCTGCATCCTGCCTAGGGTTTTCAGCATCTTGTGCTTACTTCCTTGCGTACGGATGACAGCTGCGTATGAATTAATTTATTTTCTGGTGCTTTCACTTCCAGAGACAGTTGTAAGCACTGTGTAACTGCCTCGAGGGTGCTTGACCATTTTAACACAACGTGGTGCGATCATCCCCCTTGCGCGGAGCGAGGGTTCTCCACCCCGCACAACATGATCTACTCGACCACCATTATGGTTACCGCCAAAAAAAAAACCAGAGGTAAAAAAAAAGAACGGTAACCTGGTTGCCGAGTTCACGACGTGAATTGGCCTGTTTTACAACGTCGTTGCCGAGCGACGAAAACCCAATCCCGATGGCAAACACCGAGGGGGACGGGGGGGCGGAGGGCGTGGAGTACGCGTGTGTCGTGGCGTTTTGTATCGTTAATGAGTCTCAGCTATACTATTTTGTGGTGCTGCTGCCTGGCCGTGCTCGTCCATGTCTTTCGGCTCTTCAGGGGGAAGAATCCGCGCTGTGGGGGTCGCGAACGTACATGGGCGGCCAGCCGCACCCTTTTTGACATTGATGGTAATGGACCTGTACAGCGGCAGTACCATTTTTTTGTGTTCACTCGGCAGTACGCCGCTGTGTTTCGGCCTGTTGTGTTTCACTAGCGGAGTCTGGACGGCTAAACAAGCACAAGCAAAAGCCGGGCACGTGTAGCTGACTTGAGTCTCTCGGATATAAGACGTTCGCAGAAACCCACTCGTCAACACCTCCACACGAAACACCAAGCTGTTAAGCCCATCACCACCATACCCCCGTGTCTGGCTGCTTGGCGTCCCGACTTGCTTCCGGCCGCCGCCCACCAGGTCCGGTGAGGACGCCGCCGTCAGCCGGCTTCTCCTCCAAGCGATCGCGGACGCCGTGGGGGTGCCGGTGCCCTTCGGCTTCAAGGCTGACCACCTGTTGCTGGACGGCGGTGGCGGGGGTGACCTCCCGTCGGTGCACGAAGAGGAGGGGGTGGAGGCGGGGCGGGGAGAAGCTACGGCGGCGGCTGGGGAGGCGGAAGCGGTGGTATCGGCGGAGGTGGTGCCGACGGCGGACCTTGCCCACGACCCCGACGCCATCGAGGAGCTCGTGGCCGGAAGGTGTGGAACGGCGTTGGTCGTGCCGAGGGACACGCGCGGGGCTACGAACGAAGCCGGCGAAGCGGGGGCGCCGGTAGTCGTGCTGCGGGAAGGGGCGATGGTCAGGGCGGCGCTTCTACGGGGGGCGACGGTGATTCTCCCGGGGTCCTACAACCCCCTCCACAGGGGTCACGTGGGTCTCCTAGAGGCCGCGCGGTCGCTGCTGGACGCCGAGATCAACGGGGAGTCGAGGAGAGGGGAGACGCCGCAGAAGCCACCGGCGGCGGACAAGGCTGCTGCTGGGTGGGGGCGGGAAGGAGAGCAAGGTGTTCAAACGGACGAGGGCATGGGGGCGGGGGCCGCAAGCGCCGACAGCGGGAGCGCGGGCTTGGACGTCGACGCCGGCGGGGGCGATGTCGGGGATGAGGAACGGGAGAAGAAGCGTACGGCGGTGCACGGTATCTTCGAGATTTCGGTGTCGAACGTGGACAAGGGGGGGTTGGGCGTCGAGGAGATTCAGCGGCGAGTCATGCAGTTCAGCGAGCCTGGGGGTGTCGGCTGGCCGTACCCAGTGGCGGTGACAAAGGCGCCACTCTTCTCCGAAAAGGTGGGGTGTCAAGAGGTCGTAGAACAACCGTTTTTTTTTCCTGGTGCTTTTTCGCCGTTCGTATCGTGTGGCTGTATCCAAGTCGGCTTGCGTGTGTGAAGCACCGCTCCCCTTGATGACGTGCCGTGATAGACAGTACGCGTAGCCGACGACCGGGGGCCCGGGGAAGGAGCAGCACGCAATTGGTGGCACGGAGCAATCGTCTTCAAAGTGAAAGGCTCAAGATAGTCTGGGTACTCGCAACCTCCGGAGACTCGTTTGCCACTGGCACATTGTGGTCTTTCTCGGACGGGGGTAGAGGCTCCCCCGTCCCCATTTTTCCTGGTCTTGTCTCCAACGAAAGGCGAGGCATGGACGAGGGTCGCTTTGTGGTTGTTTTTAGGTTAGGAACGCAGGACTACATTGGCGCTGTCTAGATGGAAAGACCTTGCTACTTCCAGACTCCCCCCCAAACCAGCTCTCTCTCTGCGTCTCCCCATCTTTTCCTCTCTCTTCTCTCTCTCGTTTTCTCTGTTTTTGTTTTTGCTCGCGTTGATGGCCCCTCTGAAATGACAGGCAAGACTGTTCCCTGGTTGCGCCTTTGTGGTCGGGGCAGACACGGCCAAGCGCATCATCGACCCGAGATACTATGGCAACAGCCAGGTGACGTGCACACGCATGCGTGGAGCACATGCCTTGCTAGTCAGCGTGTTTGGACCGAACCATTTCCCCTCACGTGGTCAGTTAATGTTCCGCGCCCTTCCGATGATCCTTGTGTTCAAATCTTCGCACCAAGGGTCTGAAGTCTAGGCACCGTCATCGTTTCGTGGTAACACATATATTGCACGACTTTGCGCGGTTTCAAGCTAAATATGCCGCTAATCACCGCCGTGCACATGAAGTGAGACGAACCAAATACCTGTCGTCATAGCACGCCCCTCAGAATAGAAACCCTCGGCAGGCGGACAGGTTACGGTGGCATTTCACAGGAACCAATCAACTGACACCATGCTCATTATCGCACACTGTTCCAACCAACACCCCCGTCTAGGTCGAAATGGTGTCTGCGTTATCCGAGATTCGGCACCTGGGGTGCTCGTTTATCGTGGGCGGACGGGAGGACGTCGGGGGTCGTTTTTTGACCCTTGACGAGGTGATTGCGGAGAGCGGCTTACCGGAATCCCTTCGAAGTGAGTTGCGGCTAGGCCTGCTGTGCCAGATGAAGAGTTGAAACGCTGGTCTCTTTGAGGTGTACGTTGTGCAAACACACAAGGGAAGATAGCGGAATATGATATAGCAGTCACGTGGTGCAAAAGTGGTGCGAATGCAGCGTGATGAACCGCAGAATTGTTTGCTCGAGGAAATTTCAACTTTCGCGACGGACACTAGCGTGTAGTCGTTGTCACTCTGACGTTCTCACATTTCCTCCGCATAGTTCCGGAGGACCGGTCTTGGCTTTGGACCATCGACGCGTAATGGTGTTTTCTGTTTTTTGTTCAAGGACCGCTGCTTGACCCCCGCCCGTTGCCCGCTTTATCCATCGTCTCGCGATCTCTATTGCACATTCGTGGCATGCACAGAAGTAGTTTTCTGTAGTGACATCCACAGCGCCGAAGCCACCAACCACAACCAACCACGCGTTGATGGATCTTGCCTGCCTATGTGCGTCACCACCACCTTGGGCAGGCATGTTCCTTGGGTTGGACGAGTCTTCGTTCCGAGAAGACCTATCGTCCTCAAGCATACGGGCAGGTGTGGCAAGCCCTGGCCTTTGAAACAACCCCGACCGCCCGTGTGTTTTCGTAAAGCTTTGGCGGGGTCAGGGAGGGGGCAAGCTTCGGTGGCCCTTGAAAGAGCTTTGCTGCCCGTGTGTCGTAAGGCTTCGGGGGCGTTTGTCGGGGGCGAGAGTCGGTGGTCTACACGCTATGGATGGGAGCTGATTTGCATGCCTCCTTTTTTGTTGACGCCCTAAAGGTTGTTTCGAGCGTGTGTGCTCATCTCATCTGATCCAGTCTACACACCATTTCGGTGCATCTCTTCGACGGGATCACATAGGGGGTAGGGCACACAGGAGCGTTTCGAATGCGGTAGTGTCTCGTGTGGTGGGGTACGGCAAGGGTCCTGTACCTGTTGTGGTTGTGAATCGAGGTCGAGACTGCATTATTGTAATGCCCGCGCCGAGCATGATGGTAACAGCCGTCGACGCGGCCTGAAGTTGCTTACGTGGGTGTTGTTGCGGATTTCGTGATAAGGGCACATGTGTGTGCGACAGAAAGGCAGCGTTCGGGCGCTGCTTTTTATTACCCATCATCTAGAATCCCCATACACAGGGAGAAAACAAGGTATGCATCGCAGGTGTAGGTAAGAAGTTTACACGATTTGGAGGTCGAAGCATGTCTATCTATATATGTATCATGGACATCACCCTCAGGGTGATCACAGATACAAGAAGGTGTTTTCTTGTCCGTGAAATGTTACGAAAAATACTTCGAAGTAGTATTTTTGTTAGTTCCCGCGAAAATGCACTTACCATCCCAGAATGGTTTCATGTAGTGAAGTTCGCCCTCCTCGCTGCAAGCACGACGCAGAACGGGCTAATGTGTGAAATATGAAATACGGATAGCGCCATCCCCCGTGAGGTCGTCATTCGAGTGGACCATGTTTAGGAACATGCCACTTCGTCGCGAGCGTTGGGGCAATACTCGGTGCTAGACTGGCCGACGATCCACACGGCTGGCGTCTGTACCGTGTTATCCCCTGGTATTCCGGAAGGAGTTATGAAATAACAGGAAAACATTGTGGCGTTTGTTTGGCCAACAATAATGAGTCCGTTCTGTGCTGCCCATGGTCGAAAAATTTCTCCTCTGCAAATCGACAGCGCGAATGCATTGAAATGGCTTGCCCCCAAATCATCAGCAAACAAAACACAGAATGAAGAATGAATAGGGGAAATATAACATGGAATGACCTTTCTGCAACAGTTCGCAGAGGTTGGGGCCGTGTCGGGACGCACGTCCATCGAGTGTAGCGTCTTGTTTTTCAAACCGATGCGAAGCTTTGCTCGCCTGAACATGTATTCGAGGAGGGGGATTCAGCCCATTTTGGTTGTTGGTGCAGGTTGTTTTGAATGTGTGGGGGGCAGGCATTGTGCTTCCACACCTCGTATCTCGTGGAAATACTAGTCTATGTTGTTGTTGTCTTCAAATTAAAAACCGTTCCGATCTCTCTTTACCCAGTGCCTTCGTATGTCCGTACTGATACAACACTCGACGCGGTCGATTCCCGTGGTCGCAGGCTAACTTAAAAAGGTACACTCAAATAAAATGGCCTCGAGGGGTCCGCAAGTCAATAGAAATCAACGACAGATATTCTGGAGTCCTCCACTCCCTCTGCGCGCTATGCGAGGTAGCAACTGAGACTAGGAGTCACCATCATGGGCCGGAGAGAATGAGGTACACCCCGTTGGTTCAATCTTGGTACTTCACAACGCAAGCAGACAAGGCCACCTGAAACAGAAAAAGAGAGAAAAAGAGAAACAGAGAAATAGAGAAGAAAATAAAAGGAAACAGTAAGGAATGAGAAAATGAAATAAAAAGAGCGAGGACAAACAGGGACCAGGCCGAAAATAACAAGAAATAAGAGACAGAAAAAGGCACACGGTGGAGAGACCACTAAAGACAAGCAAACACGCAAACATGGCCACCAACCAGCGATACATTGTAATGGTACGTCATCACTAGTGGGGGGTTGGTGCAATGGTGCAGCGTTGGGGGGGGGGGAATTGGCTAAAAGAAATTCAATCCGGCACGTATCGCGCCACTCGGTCCGTCTCTTCTCGTTTGCTTTCTTCCCTCGCCGTCTCGTCCGTCTCCTGCCCCCCTCCCGCCCCATTGTTTGGTGGCTTGTGGTTTCGTTTGAGCGCCCGTTGTCGGCTGGCCTCTTCTTCCTTCTCGTGCCAGGAGGTCATGAACCTCTCAGCTCCCTGCAGCACCGCCGCATGCCAGGGTACTCCCCCCTCTACCTTCGCGGCTTCCGTCCACTTTAACTTCGGTGCCGTGTCTTTCGGTACCGGGATTCCGAGACAACATGGATCGGTTTTCGTAGATCCGTGGTCGGCCCCGAATGCCTTCAGGTCGTCGAGCACACACTTCGGCCAGTTCTGTTCCTGTCCCCCCCTACGTCGCTTCTCCCCCCCTGCCAGTTCGCCGAACATCAGTCGTTTCGGGAGTCGCCCGTCCGGCTGCCTTGCCAATGCTCCCGCGAACCGAAGGCGTCGTTGTCAGATCGTGGCTTCAATGCTCTGGCATTCGACCCTCTTCAGCGTCTGGGCGTAAGAGAGCTGCCGGTATGTGTCTTTCTTGCGCTTGTACCCGATAACTCGAAGGAGCAGTCGGTGGTGATCGACCGCAGCGACTGATAGTGGCCGCTGAGTGGTGACCATGTCATGCAGCCGTACAGCAGTGCCTCCATCGCCTCCGCCTGCAGCAGGCGGATCTTGAGTCGGAATGGCGCTTGCGGTCTGTCGAAGAGCTCCTGGCCATATCGCCTGAGGCACGCCCACGCTCCTCTGCTCCTGTAGTTGATCTCCCGGGTGAGGTCGCCATGTTCGTTGACGAGGCCACCGAGGTACCGGAACTCGGTCGTCTGGGCGTATTTCTGTCCCGCGGCTTCGATGGTCAGTGGTGGAGGCGGGGCGGGCTGTGATGTTGTAGTCGGCTTGTCCTTTGCGCGCATCAGGAGCGTCTCCGTCTTCTTCTCCGACACCGTTAGACCGAACTCCCCGAACACCTCAACGATGATGGTCATCATTCTCG